TACCACGTGACGGATTTCCATTGTTATGAGTTTTTTTTTATTATCTTATCTAATCTAACCTTATATAACCTAATAAGTTTCTAATATGTACATTTTAGTTACTTTTATAATAATAAATAAAGAATACACATGAAAAACAAGAAGTATAGTACCCAGCTTCAAAAATTTCACAAACCATCTCACTTCCTCTTTCCCCCACATCAACCACTGACTTTACTCTCTCTTTAAAATGAGAAAACAATACCATAACGGTTTGTGTACCAAGTCACACAATTGTAGTTAATATTATATCCCTGCTGAACATCCACTTTACACAGAAATGTTGATAAACTGAGTCACAGTTTCAATTTGACAGCACAATACATATATAAGGGATTTTCTCAGTTGTGCCAATCCGTCATATATGTTTCTTTTTGCGGTTAGGCTGAGTGAACATATGTAAACTAAGTAGACAAAGACAGCTCAAGCAAAAGTGCAATAAAAAACATCGTTTCATGCTAAAGTATGACACACCAAAAAAGTTTCCTTTTCGTAATACATTAAATTAGCTATTTAATTGTTACTTACGTTTTCTGGGGCTTGTCTTTTTCATGACCTAATATAAAAATAAGAGAGAAGTGCATTAGCGAAATCTGATACAAAAATATTCTCAAAGTAATACAATGGAATAATTCTGTCATTATTTTGATGAACGATACAGCTATTTCTCCTTTAGCACAACACAATAAAACTTCGATATTTGTGATTTAAATTATCTTCACGTTCTTTGATTTTATACAAAGTTTGATGTACAGTCATGAGTAATTAGATTTTTTGAGTCAAAAGACATTAATTTAACAGACAAGTAATTAATTTGTTTGTTTTGTTTGTTATTTTGGGATTAATAAAATTCACTTGGAAATCGTAAAATTAAGTTGATTCAAAGTATGTGAATTCATGGTATTAAGAACAACATACAGAATATTCAACTTGTCATACATCCCAAAATTGTACTTTATTTTCCAACCAATGTAAGTGTATATATATATATATATGGAGAAAGTTCAACAGTGAACAAGTCACAAAACAAGCGAAGTACTTTACTTTCTTAAATTACGTTTAATAGCAAAGTTTATTGTAAATAACACAAAATATGAAGCTTCAAATTCTGTAGTGTATCCATAATATCAACTCTGTATTGTATAACTTTTGTGATATTTTGGTTTCGTATTTTTGGAAATTATCATGACTATTGTAGCATAAGAAATAACTTATGGATGTACGTATGTACTTGAACAATATTACAATACATAGATAGATCATGGTTACATTAGAGCATTGAGACATTTGTTAGAAAAAAACATTTTTGATTCAAAATCCTATCTAGACATTTCCATTGTAGAGATTTGCATTAAACATAAATGATTCATTTGACGGATATATAATGTTCTTTATGATTAATTCAGAGAAACTATTTGATATATAACAATTTTATCCTTAATGTTTAAGTAACTTTCAAAGGCTATTTGGGGCAAGAAGACCATAAATGGGATTTTTACATAATTTGAAATATGAGTAACGATATATATAGACATATATATGAAACTTAGGTTTCACATTTTCATCCAAAGCTTTCTCACGTGTATTGTCCATATGCTCTGTTAGCGGTACTGTATTAGAATCCGGGATAACTAAAAGCAATGCCTAAACTACGTTATTCATAACTTGTTACCGAACACTCTTGTTTATAATTATTGAGTACCATTTGTATTTAGTAGCTATATTTTTCTTATTTTATATTGTAAGCACGACACTTGTACAATAAATATTATATCTTAGTTTGGTAAAAAAATAATAAGAATAAATATTAAGGATAGCCATTATTGATCAGCGTGAGTAGGTAGCGAATGATTTTGATAAACCTGTAGAAATGTGCATTAAGCTGTCAGATGCTAGGCTACGAATAAATGCTCCATCATATAATGTTAGAGAAATTCGTATTTTAATCTTATGCATGATTCACATTTACCTGTAAAGTTTTATAAAAAATCATTGGATCAGTCAATACAACTGGCGCACCATCGCCTAGAGAACTCCTCTGTTGAAACCTTGCTTTGAGTATAAGTGGTTCTGATGAGGGAGATATGCAAGTCTACATTTACATACACAACAGATTACAAATCAAGCTTAAGGTGCTAATTTCCTAAATTATTTGCTTGTTGCACAATAAGGAGAACTCCCAAAAATCGTAAAAGTTCTCTAGTTGGGAATGAAGTGGGAATTGATTTAATTCATATATGAAGAAGCAAGAACCATCTTCCAAAATCGCATATGCTACCATGTTTATTGTTTTATGGTTTTGTTACGACAGCGGAAGTCATGTGACGCTAGTAACACGTCATGGGCTTCTAGAAAGTTCATGTCCGTTCGTGAAGCCTCGAGTGTTTACTAGATGTGCGGTATTCTTGTATATAAGACCGCCAAGAAGTGACGGCAACAATGGAATTGAATTGCAGACAGAGATGGAGACGGACAATTGAGTCAAGCGCGTGAATCGTTCGTTTGTTGTGGAATATAGCGTTTGTTTACGT